TATAAAATCGAACCTTAAATTTTTATCATTTTGTAAAAATCCATACCAATCCCAAAATATTTTGGAGACTTGTTACTTCCTCAGTCTAAAACAGAGATACAATGATAAGCAAAGTGTGGGAGTCCAAGAAAACACTGAAGGAAGACCCCAGACTCAAATTGTATGCAAGAGCAAAAAGCGTCTATTTACCATCATTTGTGGGGACATCCACCCGTGTAAATGGTGGTGACCCTGAGAGTCCTGAGAGGAGCATACAGGCTCCTTTTAACCTCAGTTAGGGGAATTTTGGAAACAGGTCATCTCAAACATAGCTGGTTAAGCAGGCAGCAGTTATATTAGTACATTTTTGATAAGCTGAGTTTCTAGGTTTTTTTCTTTGAACATATTTGGGCAAGTCTGAGCTCATTTCAGGGTATTACGGGAACTGTCCTTTTTTTGGTCACTGTCTTGTAATACTGTGGGGCTGATTCATGTGTTCTCACTCTTGTTCCTGCTGTCTGGGTGTTGATTGATTAATAACCCTTTGTTTAAGAAACTGAAACTTGTCTGCTCTTAAAACAAAAAACTGAAACCTAGATCTGGTTGTAAATGGGGGAAAATTAGACCTCTCAAGAGAGCTCAGTAATACTGGGAAATTTTACAGTTGTTGGTTCTGTGGTCATCTTAAGATGGTGGTAAAGTCACATGGCATGTACTCTTTAACCTTAGTGAAAATGGCTGCCAGCCATGTGACTGCTTATATCTTGATGAGGTCATAGCCAAGATCATCGTTGCTGTTTAAAAACATGTTTTTCTAGTAGGAAACTCATTTTTTTAAATAAGAGTTGAATTTGAGTTGCATACACGTATAGTATTTTATGTAAGTTACATACACACATACACATATCCAAAATAAGAGTTAAATAATGTAAAATATGCTTCAGCAATTAAGATTACGTGTGCAAAGAGTTATAAGTTTAAAGCCATATTTTGTTACAGATCTTATTAAACTGTATCCAATGAACTTACAAATTTTGATAGAGTTTACAGCATAGTCTTAAGAGATTTTTTTTTAGAGCAGAGCACAGAGAAATCATAGAGATAAAAGAGTTTTAAGAGTGAAAAGTAGAGAAAGTATAGAGTGGAACGAGCTTAGATATGAGATATTTGGGGGCCATTTGTTTGTGCAATAGCAGTTGTTACTATTTGTGAGAATTTAGAAATCAAGTGCACTGATTTTTTTGGTCACTAAACTGTTCTGAGGCCAAACTGTTTCAAGGAGAAAGGATTGCAAAAGAAATTCTCTGAAGGGAATTTCTATACGCTCTGTGGGGGAATTTCTATACGCTCTGTGAGGGAATTTCTATATGCTCTGTGGGGGAATTTCTATACGCTCTGTGGGGGAATTTCTGTACGCTCTGTGGGGGAATTTCTGTACGCTCTGTGGGGGAATTTCTGTACGCTCTGTGGGGGAATTTCTATACGCTCTGTGAGGGAATTTCTATACGCTCTGTGAGGGAATTTCTGTACGCTCTGTGGGGGAATTTCTATACGCTCTGTGGGGGAATTTCTAT